AAAATTAAAATGAAGGAGAGAATCCTAGAAGCAGCAAGAGCTAAGGGGACAATCACCTACAAAGGAGTCCCCCTCAGACTGTCAGCAGATTTCTCAAAAGAGACCTTACAGGCAAGAAGGGGCTGGAAAGAAATATTCCAAGTCATGAAATCTAAAGACCTACAACCAAGATTGCTCTATCCAGCAAAACTTTCATTTAGAATGGAAGGACAGATAAGATGCTTCTCAGATAAGACCAAATTCAAGGAGTTCATCATCACCAAGCCCTTATTATATGAAATGTTAAAGGGACTTATCTAAGAAAAAGAAGTTAAAGAAACATGAACAGTGAAAGAACAACAAGCTCACAGTTATTAACAACCACACCTAAAACGAAAGCAAACTAAAAGAACAGCTAGATCAGGAGTGGAAATATAGAAATGAAGATCTCAAGGAGGGTTAGCAACAGGGGAGTGGGAGGAGGAGATGGGGGGAGAAGGTACAGAAAATAAGTAGCATAGACAGTAGATAGAAAATAGATGGGGGGGGCAAGAATAGCATGGGAAATAGAGAACCTAAAGGACTTGAGACACATGGACATAAACTAAAGGGGGGTAATGGTGGGGTTGGGGGGGCAGGGTGGAGGGGAATGAAGGGGGGAATAGAACAACTGTAACAGCATAATCAATTTTAAAAAATAAATAAATTAAAAAAAAAAAAGAAACACACATTCTAGATGTTTGATCCCCCAAGCAAGTTTCTTAACTTTTTTACATCATTTTATTTTTGTCCTTAGAAATTTCATGTTGTGTCTTTGCCATAAGATTCAACAAGTTTCTTAAAGATACTGTGATGGCTTGCTTAGTCCATCCATGTGATGTACAGTGCTGAGCTCAGGGAACCTGCAGACAAGTCCTCATCCTTAGACAGTATTGATGGCTTTGGGAGGCTGGTGAAGAGCTTCTCATCCCAGCATCTTTGCATCCAGTGGCTGATGCAGAGCCTGGACTGGTCAAGGGGAGACTCAAGTCTCCTGTCTATTTTTAGAACTCATTAAAGTGACCAGTGTGACGGAAGGGAGCCTGGGGCAGCTCTGGCTGGAATTAACTTTCTCCTCTCCACTGGACATGGTTTGAAGCAGACACTTCTGAGAGACTCATTCTGCCTGACATGGTAGGAAATGCATTCACTCCTTGATATCAGCTACTTGTTCTGCATCCACCTGTGGTTTGTTTATAGGGGACTCATGGGTTTAATGGTGGCTTTAAAAAATAGTATGTCATGTCCTAGTTTAATGGTGGCTTTAAAAAATATATACCCATGTCCTGACCTTCATAAACCTGTGGATGTGACCTTATTTGGATAAAGGATCTTTACAGATGTGATTAAGGATCCCAAGACAAGACCATTTTGGGTTCAGAGGGAGCTCTAAATCTAATGACTATTGTCTTATAAGAAGGAAAAGGAAGAAGGAGATTTGAGCCTTAGACACACAGAGGGAAAGAGGCCACATGACCATGAAAAAAGACACTGTAAAGATACAGTCGAGACCACCAAAGTAGGAAGAGGCAAGGAAGGATTCCCTCCTAGGAGGAAGCATGGGTCTGAAGGCAACTTCTTTGTGTATCTTTGGCCCCCACAACTTGAAAGAATAAATTTCTGTTGCATTAAGCCGCCAAGTTTGTGATCATATTTTAGGAGACTAATAGAGAGATATAAAGCACAGGCATATTCTGAATATGTTTTCCCTGAAAGTTCTCAGAAAAAGGGACAGAGAAAGCTCACACCCCAATAAAATTCAATAGAAGAGTCAGTAAGGATCACTCCCTTAGGTCTAACTCTGAAATGTGCTTGAGACTGTATAGTAAGTAGCTGTTTTGTTCACTTCTTATTGCATTTGGTCCTCTAACACTTTATGTTAAATCACACTGTATAACCAGTCATGCTCAGAATGAAAAAAGTGTTTTTCTGTGTTGTTCTTTCTCGACCTCTACATTCTGACATCCTTTCTTTTCCATTCACTCACAATGTCTGAAACACCTTTTTTTAAAGTTTACATGTTATCTTTAAAAACTACTTTAAACACACAGATATTCCTACATAACAATTTATGGCCATTTGTATACATATGCACACTACAAAATGATTAATTGAGTGTTGTATGTTTTTATCAAAGGAAACAACACAAAGATTCCTCCGAAGTCTTATTTGACTAAAGATGATTAATTTTAATTTTTACATGATCGGCATAATGCCATTAATCATTTAATATGTTTAATCATAATCTCTGTAATTCCTAATTAGGTTTATTAAGCTGAAACATCCAGCAGTTGTGCACAAATCCAAATCTAAGTTTCTTTCTTGGTATAAGAAGGAGCTTGTTCTAATTTGCACTTGAACAACAACTTCTAACAGGAAAAAACAAGTAGACTGGAAGTTTCTGTCTGAGCTGCTGCTTCTGGAAACTTAAGGGTACTAAGACCCCTGATCCCTCTGAAAATAATGGTTCCGTGATTCAAGGTCATTTGCATCTCATGGGCATGTAAACCAAATCTCACTACTAGCAGTGAAAACACAGTTCCTGTTCTGTTTGGCTATCAATGTTATAATATTTTTCTTCAACAATCACTTGAAGGTGGCAAGGTAGATCGTTCACTCCTTTACTTTTTTCATATGCTCATCATCCATTCACCTATTTAGTCAGTGAGTCAGCCAGCCATTAAACAGGCATTTGTCATTTGTCTACCATGGCTCATGAGCTGTTCATGTCACCCTGGTACAATACTTAAGTGGCTTCTCATATTTTGTAGGATGAAATTTAAACTCTTGCTCTGCACACAGGGTTCTTCATATTCTAACCCCCTACCTCCCTCTACAGTATGCTGCCCTGTTCCTTCTTCATACATGCCCCCATGATGTACTACAGTAAGGTCCATATGTACTCCTCTGACTCCAGACATGGTTTCACCTCTCTGAGCCTTTGCATATGTTTTGCTGTCCCCATCACAGTGTCAGTCCCCTTCACCTCTTCTCTTAGGCATCTCTCACTTAAGATTCAACCTACAGAACTGGCAATTCTTGTGGAACCTCCAATTGTGCTACATGCCCCTGATTTAAGTTTACTCAGTCCTCTGTGATTCACTCTCCTCCCAGCACTTAACAGTGTTATGACAGTTGACTTTAACTTTTTGTCTAGTAATAAAGTGAGAACTCTGTGTAATTTGGAGGACTTACTTCAATGGCTAGCACAGAGTAATTGCTCAGTAAAGAGGTACTTAATAAGCCAATGAGAACCTTTGCTTTATGGTTCACAAAGGAGGCTTTTTATGCCTCTCTTTCGACGTTAAAAAATTGTCACTCTAAAAATGTATTACATTTCATTTATTGACTGTATACCATGTGCCAAGAACTCTGCTGAGTAGAAGGATGTTATTTTGTTCAATATTCACAGTGCCTTATAAGGCATGCAGTATTATTATTGTTAATTTTCCAGACTAGAAAACTACCGCCATCCTCCTTGTTACTCATTCTGGAAGCATAAGCAAATTGTCATTGCCATCATAACATTGCACTAGGAAGTACAAGAAGTCATCTAGTAGGGCTTTGGATATGAACTCAGCTTGTAAAGTAGTTTGCCAGTCAACTGGAGGTCTTGATTTCAAAATACAATTCAGGGTATATAGGACTGAGAATAATGAAATAATAAAGGGAATCTGCCAGTTAATACAATGGTTGATGAGAAAGTTGCCAATTATGCTCAAGTTATTTTGGCATGTATATATTTTACTTTGTAAAATTGTCTTTATTATTTTACACCTGGCTGCTTGCATTGACAGTTTTTTTCTCAGCTATATGCTTCTAAATTGATTATAAGTAGGTGAGGACAATTCTTTGCCCATAAATTTGATGGGCTTCCACATAGGATTTTCATCTTGGTTTCAGAGAAGCAAGTACCTGATGTGGATGGCATCTACCTGCCACCTGTATGCAGTGTGTGCTAAATGGAGGGAAAGTAAAAATTAAGCATCTCCGAAATGTTCAAATTCTAGGAGTGAGAGTATGGGAATGATGACAATGATACTAAATAGTATTATGACTTTTTTCCTAGTTCCTGCCTATACATGGGTGTTGATATAGTAGCATGTTATCCAGGCTCTTATTTGAGAGGGATGAAATGGGAAGCAGATGAGTTATGTTAATAATGTAACATTCTCTACATCAATGAAGTGTAATAGAAAGTTCTGCAGTGATACAGATGTTCTGTATCTGCTTGTCCAATATGGAAGCCACAGCCACATGTTGTTACTGATCACTTGAAATTTGGCGAGCATGAAGGAGGAACTGAATTTTATGTTTTATTTAATTTTAATTTATTTACATTTACATAGCCACATGTAGTAAACTGTAATGAGCAGCATAGGTCTACACAATTAAGAGACAAAAAGTTCAAACCATAAAAAAAAATTTAAGTAAATCAGATGATTATTTGGACTACAGAATACCAAACAGCCTTTTCAAATGTTTTAGTATATTTACTAAGATTTTATCTGCACAGCCTCAACAATTATGTAGGCGCATCTTAAGATTTGAACAGCCTTATTAGGGGATCTACCCCCCACCTTTATCGGTGTCATCCCCTTGTTGATGATGTTTTCCTCTGATTGCCTCCATCCCATCCCCCAGCACCAGCTAGCACCTTACTTTGCATTACTTTCTCCTCAATGCTTATCTTCCTCTGACAGCTCCATATTTATTTATTAACAAGTTCATTGGCTGTCTCCCTGTGAGAATTATGCTTCACGAGGACAAGGATATTTGCTTTGCTCACTGCTAAATCCCTGATCCATGATGGGCAGAGTGCAACAAGCATTGGTTGAATGAATGCAAACAACTCAGCAGTTCTTTTCTGCCCTTATTCCTTTGTTCTGGCATTTTCCTACCATGCAGGGGATGCCAAAGCATTTTGAAAGAGAGAATTTGGGTCCACTCAGAGCCTCTATGTTTTGCTTTCAATTTTTTAGCAGACAGATGATGCAGCACCCACGGATGGCCAGCCCCAGACACAACCTTCTGAAAACACAGAAAACAAGTCCCAGCCCAAGCGGCTGCATGTCTCCAACATCCCCTTCCGGTTCCGAGATCCGGACCTCCGACAAATGTTTGGAGTAAGTACTGCCTTTCTCCTCTGCAGTGCCTGTTCTGGGCTCCCCAGAGTGCTTTCCTGTATGTAAGTTCTTGGCGTTTGTAATTCGGGGTGAGATGTTTACAAAGGAAAAAGGGGGGGGGGTTAGTTAATATATGGTGGTTAGGATCTCCTTATGATTATAGTATGAATATCTTTGCATATGTCCACCATGTTTCCATTTTGTCAGTGGTCTCCCACTGATTAGTAACTTAAATATCAAATGGAAAATTAACTCCCAGATAATACACTGTCGAAACAAGTCCACTCATGACCCCAAGTTGAGGGGCATGGATCCCATGCCATGGCTAAAATAAACATTATGCCTCATCTTGGCACTTTTCTCTATTGCAGTTGTCAGATTATCATGACATATCCCTGTTTATCTTCCTCTTTCCCAGGCACTGAGATGTCAGGTGCAGCTGTGGAGAATAACTAATTCTGCCTAAAACTTTATTAAAAGACAAAACAAAACAAAAGCTAGAGATTTCTAAGTCTGACTTGCAGCCTGCATTGTATATTCTCCTGGAATCAGTGATGAGGAGTCAGAGGTTCTTACTGTGTTGTTATATGTGACAAATAACAACCTTGTCCAGGGACCATGGTGAAATGCAGAAGCAACCAAAAGTCACCACTAATTCAGAGAATATAAATGATAGGGTTGCTTCCTCATAGAACATCATGACTCGGACAATATCTGCCTTGGGAAGAGATGAGCTTGCCGTTTCTTCTGGCTCAGTTTTACCAAGGGCATAGCTATGATGGGCTTGGATATTATCCATGTTTATAAATGTAGTCAGTCTATTTACCCATGCCACCCCAGCATCAGTGGGGAATATCTGTGGATTCAATGAACAGAACTACATTCTTAACATTTGACTTAGGTTGGCTGTCTGGAGATTCTTCTAAGAGTTTTTAGATGGATGCAAATAAGACAAGAGGAATAAGAAAAAGCCCAACTGTAATGCCTAGTTCTGGGCAAAGTAGATTTCATTCTCCATATGAAAAAGGAAGCACTGGCTGATTGTTCTGCAACTGTGGGGTTAGCTTGCACCTTTTATTTCTTTAACATGCATGATGTTTATCAAGTGCACATCTGACACAAAAGCAGAACAAGCATCCTAATATTTAAGATACCCAGTCTTGAATCCTGACATTTCAGAGGAAAAGGTCAGCTTCTGCACTTTCATCTCTCTCATTTGGTAATAACCTTGAGTTGAGCCCTCTAACTCTTGCAGAGCAGTGATACCCTCGGGCACTTTCAGGTCAAACATGACTTTGAAAAGTGCAGAGCACTCAAAGTTAAAGTGGAGGTTAAGTGTGTGTAAAGCAGTGAGACCATGTTTGAGTGATGGGAAGCCAGAGGAATTAGATTCCTTTTGCCACATCAGCTTAGGAAGACGTCTTGCTATTTGCACTAACCTTCAGTCCATCTTTACTCATCAAGTGTCACTGGGATGTTGGCTTTGAATTTGGTCCTTTTGATGACCATCTGGTGCTCTTTTATGGTGTCACTCATTGCAGCACACCCTAATTCCCACCCCTGAGGGTACTCTTTACTTCCTGATCTTCTGGGTTATCTTGAAAGTTATAGGAGAGCAACACTACCAAGTCAGAGAGGCATTCAATATATTCACAGACAGAACTCCCAAAGATCAGCTCATGAGTGCATGAATATGTAAACCTCTCTGCTCTTACAGGGGTAGGGCAGGTGCCACAGAGCAAAGTCTTGCCAAAAGATTGATCATACTAGCAGTTGTCGAACCTTGATCAAAAGCTACTGGTTTCATAGCCATTTTTTGTAAAAGTCAAAATTGTCAAGCAACTGACTAGACATCACTTTGACAAGATGATAAATACACTTAATATTTATGAGTTAAGAAAACACAACATATATTTAGTAATATTAAAATTAGTCTTCTCTCAAACAGCATCTGTATCCATTTAAAGAAGTATGCAAAACAATTTTTATGGGTTTCATCCATAAAAATTATTGGGCACATATGGATTCCTTGACTCTGCAATAACTTTGAGGCATCCTTTGGCTTACAACCATCATTCTGGAGAAATGAAATTTTAACACTAAAAAAAATCAATTCTCCCTGGCCAAACATCAGTGGTGGCAAACCCATTCTGGTTATATGATACATTTAGTGGCATGAATCACATTGAAAGGCATCTGTAAACATTCTGATTGGCTTTCCACACCCCAGTTGAGAGAATTTAGCATAGTTTCCTCCTTTGGGCCATACTTACTTGAATACATTACATTTTAGTTCCCATTTGGTATTTTCCAAGTCATTTTGACATGAGCTATCTTCTTTCCTTTTGGTGGAATATTTTGCCTTTGTCCCTTCACTTTGCAGAAGTGAAGATGGAGAAAAAGCCTCAGAAAAATCTCTGTGCTTTTCCCCTTTGTCTCTTTTCTTAAATATGGCCAAGAGGATTTCAAACTCAACACACAAAAAGACAAAATAGCAGCCTCCTTCTTCCAACTGCCTAAAACCCAGCAGTTTTCATAACAACTTCTGTAACCATTAATAATCCAGTCATGAAGTCGGCAACCTTGGAGGGCCTAATGGTGACCACAAGTACCCCACGTTTTGTGTTTAATTTGTGGCTTCAATGCTTCTTCCTTGCTATTCTACTTATCTTTTCTTCCACATGCACTTCGTATTGTCTGCTTTCTCCTCTTTTGAAGATACTTCTTTCAGTGTTTGTCATTAACTCTTCTAGTTCATTACAGATTTGCTTTTTTATTTCTTTTAAGATGGAGCATTTCTTGGTCAAGCAGTTATGTGGCCGCAATATCCAAAGTAGTAGTCTTTGTAAAGCACCACCTGGGGTGTGAGTGAATGGATCTACTATGTGATCATGGGATTGGTCCTGGATGTTTCACTAGAAGGAATCATTGGTTCTAGTCTGGCTACTTTCTTCTTGGTCTCTATCTTCATTTTGGAGATCACTCATGATCCTGTACTTCCTTTACATTGAATTCTTGATGATCCTATTAAAGGAATATATGGATTTTCAACAGATTAATTATAATATATTGCTTCTGAATGCAAAGCTTAGTTTACCCTAATACCCAAAATTTAAGTATTTCTGGGTTTGGGGAAAGAGAATTGATGGTCTATTATATTCTATTATATACATTCTATTATATACATCCAGACCACTCATATAACACATTCCATGGTAGAATTGTTTCAGAAACAACTGCTCAGTGAGTTCAGGTTTCAAATTTGCACAGTATCCTTGAGATCACAGCCTTGCTTTTTTTCATGAAAATGCATACTCATTGGGCATAAATATGATTTATTGAAATCTCTTTTTATGGCCACCAAAAAAAAACCCCAGATCACGTGACTTTCAGAAGATACAAAAGAAGCTTTTGTGATCACCTTTTCAGTAATAAAATAGAGTAATAGAGATGTCTGCATCTTTAATGTTAATGCCAGAGTTCCATCTACTGTGATGTTATAAGTTGTGAGGCCAGTTTTTCAGATATGACATGGTACCTCCTATGTCTGCATTCTAAACATGAAGTCAACCCCAAGAAAACTCAGGTGATGCATTTTCTTAGACTCTTTGCACACTCTTTGCACTAACCTTTACTTTCATGTTTCATGCTGTATCCATTGAACATCTTGCACAGTTTCACAGGGAAATATTTGATGTGAGAATGTCTACACAGCCTGGTACATATTTACCCATGTGTGTGCCTGTAAGCCCCTAAATTTTGTTCTTTACACAGCCATTGAGACACCTTGAGTGGATTCTGAGACGTTGTTGAACACTACTGAACATTGGTGTTGAGCAAACAAATGCTAGTTATGTCTGCGAATGAGTCGTGTCTATTTAAACTGAAAATGTGCCAGCTGTGTTTACATCATTAGAACCAAACTTCCCAATTAAACTGTTGATACTATAAATATAGTACACAACTGACTCAGAAATGGGGCTGACATCAGCATTCTTCTTAAGGCTCGTTTCCTTGGCTTTGAGAATCATCAGCCCAAGGCAGCTGCCAAAAGAGGCAAACATTTGAGACCATCTCAGGGCATATGGTGTCATCATTTCATTTAGTAAAAGACACATGCTAAGATTACTTTTTGATTGTTTTTTTCTCAACCAGATTTTATTTTAAAAGAAGTGTTTTTGTGTTGACTGCTTAGAGAATGTTCAGTGAAGGACATGTGTTTCATGGTTTTGGAAGAATTCCTTTTCAAGCATCTCTATCCATAAATGTGTGTGCTTTCAGGCTCTTAGGCCTGAAATACATATGATAGCATCTGTGTGAACTGACTCTTCTAAGGTTATATCAAAATTACTGCTTCTGAGGAATCCACAAAGCTGGAGGATTTTTTACTATGAAATTTAGTTCACCTTTCAATGGCAAACCCTTCATTCCCCAAATCTGAAAGTTTTCTTTTTCTATTTTTAATGATTTTCTCTGCTCAAAACTAGGGCACTGAGAATGCTCTGTAGAAGAATATTCTATTGACCAAAAGACTAGTTGAATGTCCAGAAATTGCAGGGTGAGTTAGCTGCACGTTTCTTGGTATTTCCATTATATGGGTTGACCTTGTTTTATTGCACCTTGCTGCACTGTACTTTGCAGACAGGACATTTTTACAAACTGAAGTTAAGACCCTCCACCAGCAGAAATTTATGATTCACAGAAGGCTCAGATAATGGTTAGAATTTTTTTAGCCAATACAGTATTTTTTTAAGTAGGGCACATACATTTCTTAGACATAATGCTATTGCACACTTAATAGACTACAGTATAGTATAAACATAACTTTTATATGCACTAGGATAACCCTGAAATCTGTGTGACTTGTGTTGTCATGATATTTGCTTTGTTGCAGTGGTGTGGAAGTGAACCTGTAACATCTCTGAGGTGTGCCTGTACATGCTAGCATCCTGCTATCTCCTCTTTTGGTTGAACCTTTTCTTCTTGATTTCTTCCTGTCCCTCTCCTTCTTTGGGAAATAAAGAAGCACTTCTGTTCAATAAGAAAAATTCAACTCTATGGTCTTCTTGGCAGGTACATATTCTGAGCAATGGGCACATTTCAGTGGCACAGGATGACATAGCTTTGGGTTTCTTTTTCTTGTAGTAAGAACTTTCATTTCAAAGTTTTGAGCTATTTATATTCTACTAGAGTATGCGTATGCTTTTCTGTCTTTCTAAGTAAGGTAAATTAATTTGTATGTTTCAGAGAATAGCCTCTATATGTTTCAAATAATTTTTTTAATCTTGGTGGGACTCTGTTGATACTCACTCTCAGGGCATACCAGCATTCTATGACTGATGCTTATTGGTCAGGATGTTGCCCTCAGTAATCTGTATTCACATTGTTTCTTCTCAGTCTTACCCCCTCCCTCTGAAACACTCTGTCCTCTGCTTCATAGAGGCTGCTTCTTTTAAAATAAAAATCTTCATGCTTTCCACCCAGGAGAGAGATGGAGTACAGAATCTCCTAGGGTAATAAAGGGTGCGATAACAATCAAGGCTGCAGAAGCAAATGAAACAATGCGAAAGCTCAAAACAAAGGAAAAAGGAGATGGAAACATCTTTTTTCTTATGTTGTCTTGTTTATTTTCTAACACTAATGTGAATATTTGCTCTCATTTTGCATCCAGGAAAAATTCCCGTCTTATTTTTTCCTGGGCCATGTTGCCTACTTTTATGCCACTCTCCCAGCCCATGTGGGGTTCAGCTTCATGTGGTTGAAGAAAACTGACAGGATTTCAAGGTTAAGGAAGACTTTGGATTCTCAAATGATTCTGCTTTCAGGGTCCATGTTCCCTTTTTCTTTTTTTTAAGTGCAAATCAAGAATTGCTTGATATCCTTTCTCACACGTACTACCAGATTCAGCAAAAAAAAAAAAAAAGACACAAGAGTTGAATTTGAATTTTAAATAGCAAGTGTTTTATTATATATAAGTATATCACCAATATTGTTATTTCAGGGTATGGTTATTCTGAAAAACTTGAAATTTAAATTTAATTAGGCAACTGTAGGATATACGACTGCCCAATTTATTTGTCATCTGAAATTGTGTTTCTAGACTTGAATATGTGGAGTTACTTTTGATTTTTATGGAGTGCATTTGTGCTAATTGTCTGAAATCTGTTTGTTTGTTTAACAACACGGAGAATCATCTGGAGAGAAGTGCATTTCAGCCTGAGGACTGATCACAACTGCGCTGGTGTCTTCATTTGATGGGTGTCCGTAGAGTGGGTCTTGCTTTCATCTGTTTGTACTTGTTTTACACAACCTGGCTGCTGCTAGCTTTTATGGGGGCTGGGAGTTAAAATCCTCGACATCATATTCTATTTGGACATTTTGCTACCAAAATCCCACTTCCTCAAGGGTTTTTTTCCAGTGATTAGTGGAGTAGCCAAGGAGGGTCAGCATATACATTAGACATTTTGAATCTTCACTGCTCAGTGCCTGGGAAAGCAATCCTGCACACACGAAGGAAGGCAGACAGCTCTAACCTCTTGATTACCTGTGTTGTACCAGACCCCTGCTGTGATATCTTTCTTGGTGGGGCATGCCCTAATATGGAAATAATATGTGTGATTGTATTTTCTCTTGGATCAAGTGCATTGTTTAATGATAGAACAAAATAAAATGTATATCCTTGTCAAAAGACTCTGACAGAGGGTACCATTACCAGTGTGCATAATATGATTTACTTCATTTCTCTTCTTGCTTATAAAATATTTCTATTTTTTTGCAGCAATTTGGTAAAATCTTAGATGTTGAAATTATTTTTAATGAGCGAGGCTCAAAGGTAAGCAACTTAATTCACTTTAGAATTGTGTAGCTTATTTTAAAATGCTCATTATAAGTAATGGGAAACAACTGCACTGTCTTAATCAGCACATTGTGAAAATATACTTAAGGGGGAAATCTTTAGAGACCAATTCTAGTTTCCAAAGTGGTGGGAAATATATTGGGCTCAGTTTAAAATATATAAGGGGATAATTTAGAATTGCTGTTTTAGATCTACCTATCTATCTATATATTTCAAGTTTCCAGAGGAAAATTACCCATGCTTAAAAAAATAATGTTGTTGCTGCATTTTTGTTTTTCAGTGATAATTATGTTCTTTATATTAAAAAGTGAGTTGATAGTCTCATGAGCAGGTAAATATGTGATTATTCTGTATTAATAAAGTGCAGTTATTTTCCTGGGTTGCAGGGGAGAAAGTTTTATATACACCAACCTTTTGAATATAGTGTGTTTTATTAGTTAGTGTGTTTACCAGTTCACATTTTGCAATTTGTCATTGCTTTGGTTTTGTTTTTCCCCAGAAAACCAATTTTTAGGTTGATTTTCCTAGAGCACACAGTATTAGTAAAAACTGATGGTCATATAGAGAGACTACAAAATGGAAATGTGTTGATAGAAAAGATAAAGGCCAAACCATCCAACACGTCCTCTGTATCAGTGATTGTCTAAGTGAGGGATCCAAACCAGCAGCATCAACATCACTTGGGGACTTCCTAGAAATACAAATTCTCAGGGTCCAAACCAGATCTACTGGCTCAGAAACTTTAAAATTGGGGCCCAGCCATCTGTGGTTTAGCAAAGCTTCCAGGCCAATTATTAAAGTTATAAACACCATGTCTTCTTGTTATAGGCAAAAGCCAACGCTTCATCTGAGTGCACAATGCCCCTTGGCCCTCTGGTATTCTGTGTTTGCTGAAATGTCCGCTTTCCATCTGCAACCACAGAAAACTCAAGAACCCCATGAGAATCTGCTTGAGGAAAACAGCCATAGCAGTGGATACTGGGTGATATAACAGGGGATGATGCTGTAAAAAACTCATATTGACCTCAGCAACCATATAGAAAACACTTTCAATAACTGTACCTTGTTTCCAAGTATCATTCCTCTGGTCATCAGGAAGTTTAAACTCCCTTCTCAAAGTGGAAAAGTGGATATTAAGAGAAAGTGCTCACCTGATACAGAGAGATACTGATTTTAGCTTCATAACTCTCCTTACACAGATGAATTGGGACAAGTCACTATCCGGAAGGGTTACTTGGAAGAACTGGTTTTATCTAAGGTGGCAAGTGCTAGCTAGCTTCTTGGGTATAGTAACCACGTCTTACCCACATAGCAAACATTTAAATTTATTATGCCTTGGATAGTCTTTACCCCTCCCTCCTAAGCAGATGTAGTATTAATGGAATAGGATGATGCTGATTGAATTGAGGGAAGAAAATTCCAGCATCCTCTTCCCCACAACCAAAATGATGTTGTGATGTACCAGATGAGTTAAAAAAATAATCCATTATAGTCGCTATAATTTTCTAGTTTAAGAATCGCTTTTACTCTATAATTTCAGATATTTTATAGTCATTCTTGTCATGTGTTAGTAGTTGACCTCCGGGTTACGGAAGAAAGAAGTTAACTCTCTTTCTACTTCTTGTATGAAAACTATTACAGGGACTATTTCTGTACCTGCAAAGCCAGGTGCATGAAGAAACAAATGTACCCAGTCTAATCCTTTCACTCAGGCCTGATGTATTCTGGGCAAAGTTATAGATGAGGACCTGAAATGTTGGCCAACCTTCTTCTAATCTAAATCTGTAGCTTCCCTGCTTTTAAAGTATTTTTTAAATTTTCTATTTAATTTATATTTTGTTTTGTAACTTTGGCCAGTTGGAGAAAGCTATTTGACTCCTTTCGAGAGCTGTTTTGGAACATTAGGAGAATTTCGTTTGCTATTTTGAAACTACAATGGCAATGCTATTTTTAAGACTTCTGTCATATCCATGATTAGCCTGTCTCTGGGGTTTTAGGAATAAGACCACTTGAGTTTGCCTCATCCAGAGACTGACTTTGTGGAGTTGCTTTAAAAAATCTGGAAACGTAAAAAATGCCCTCTTTCTCTGTGGGTACGCTGCCTCTCAAAGAACCCGTCTGGTCTTGCAGGTGTTGGGGCTGACTGTTTAGGTACGAGTGTCATAGAGACAGTCCATTTGGGATCTGCTAAATGGGGGCAGCGGCTCACCCAGGGATATTTTTCATACTTGACATTATCCTTTACGGGAAAGGGCCTATTTAAAGGAACATTTCCATTTTAATGGCTGAAAAACCTGAACTACTGTTATGACCTCATTTTCATCATGTGGTGCTAGAGATGCAGCCAGCAAGTGGGTGGGCCCTTAAGAGCTGGGAGCTCAGCTGCTGGCTGTTCTGTTTGTGGACAGTTCCCAAGACAGGTCACTTAGTGCTAAGTGAGTATGGCTGTGTGTTCTGTGGGTGTTTGGGGGTTTGTGTGTGTACGTATACACCTATACCTACACAAGCAGTGTCTATTTTATTCTAGGAATGTATAACATCAATAATGTACTAATATATGAATAATTATATGAGGAAACCACATTTTACAAAGATATGCCAGACTCTAAAAATGGAAATTAGTTACCACTTAGAGGTGAAAGGTTTTGTAATTCATTTTTCCTTTTAGGAGACTTAAAAATATTTTGTTTAGTTCTGAAATGTTTTGTTTGGGTATACAGCCAAATATAGCTACTTTTAATATACCTCAGAAACATACAATCTGGCCTTTGATTCAGTAGATACCTATAAGCATGGGTTATGTTCCCAGTACCAGATGACGAATCAACTGTGAGCAGGACAGGAGAGCCATCATCCTCACAGATGACGAGTAGCAGGAAGACAAACCACTGCAGTACAGTATGGTATGGTCTATGATGAATGAGAGACTGCCAAGACTCCAGACAGGCAGACTAGTGTTGCTAGAAGATGGTAAGCCTTCTGGGAAGATGGGGCATGTAAGCTGAAGGAGAAAAATGGCTGAGAATTTCCCGGGGAAGGGCAGAAGGGGAGGTGGCCTTCTAAGGAGGAGGAGTTGCCTGTACAAAGGTCATTGAGAAGAAGCAAGATGTGAAGCTCTTAATTCCATAGGAAAATGAACCTTCAGACTCTTATCAGTGGCTACCTTTGTTACAGATAGCAGTCCTCTGCACCAGAAATTGGAAGGATTGGATTTTCATATAAGATGAAAAATCAGTGTACCCATCCATCCTGGGTGCTTCAGAGCCTTCATGTAAGATATAAAATGTGTTCCATAATGCAAACGAAGAAAATTATTAACTTAAACTTATACTACAAGACCAAAGTAGAAAAATAACTAGGGTACGGGAAGGTCAGAATTCAGGATTCACAGAAAGTTTTAAAAGTAATAAAGTTGCCTTGGTCTGGCAGTCTATCTTAGAGTCACCATTGTCTGGCCTGTTGACTGGGCCTTCCCATGATGGGGTGGCACATGCCACCAATCCCCTTCTCCTGCAGCGTTCTTTATGTAGCCCTGTGTACTCTTGATCTCTAAAGGGTTACTCATCAGCATCACACTCAGTTTCAGGCCAGGTCCAGAATGTGCTTCTTTTGTTCCCCTTTTTAAGACTGAGATAAAAATATTCAGAGTATTTTTAAGAACCGCAAGATGCTGTTTCCTTGAGATGAAATTCGGACCCTGAGGCAGGTCAAAAGAAACAAGCTCAGCACCAGCTTTCAGCATTGCCTAGTACCTGTGCTTGATGGAGAGGCTACCTGGAAATGGCCAAGGGATGGTCTCTCTGTTCATAGTGTAGTTCCCTAGGTGAGAATTCTGGCAGTCATCTGACCCAGGAGGCCTTATTGCTTCTTGTCTGAGTAGGACATATGATGTTCTAATGGAGCAAGTAGGAAAGTCCCTTGGATATTTGGGGGACTGTTTCTGGAGCAAGCTGTTCTTGAACCCAACTTTGCCCAATCTCAACTCATCATCTTAGCGGTCTGAAAATAGTAGTATTGAGCAACTCAGAGAGAGAGAGAGAGAGAGAGAGAGAGAGAGAGAGAAGTTTAGCAAAAAATACTAAGAGTAACAACAATAATAAAAATAATCAGTGTACTGCCATTACTTCAAAACAAAGCAAGGACTTGAGAATGGTGTGGAATCTTTCTTTGTAGTTTATGAACTTTCTTTGGGATTGAAAATATATTTCCATCTCCACTTTTATCTCTTCCTGACATGCATAATGCAGATTTTAAGTGAGGATGGTTTGCCTTGGGTTCAGACTATATTCATGATAACTTGGTTCTTTGGGATGATGCTCTAGGCAGGTGGGTTGAATGTTCAGTTTCACCTGGCCACATTCTTCCTGACCTGTGGTGATAGTGTTCACAGACACTAATCATGCCACCAAGCTTTTCATCCATGAGATTTGGATTATGAAGTTTTCCTTCCTTGCTGACTAAGAGAATTGCCCCTGATGCAGCCAGAGTCCTGGTTTTCTTTATTTATTATTCAGTGTATGACAGCATAGCTACAGATGCTAGGGAATTTGGGTTATAGGCAAGGAAAAGAACATTGCTATATGATTTTGGCTGTACTCCTGTATATGAGATCCAAATAACCCTGTCAGGCAGATACTCACCCCTAAAATTCACCCCAGTCTACAGGTTGCTCTATAGAATTTGGTGATACAATCTTCTACTTCATACAAAGAACTGAAGTCTTCTTTTGATGATGCTTAGTGATGTGAGAGGCCGCGGGAATCCAACAGTAGCTTTTTCAACAGATTTCTGGGCTCCCCTTGGGGATTCTGAGCTGGTAGATATGTGGCAGGGCTTGGCATCTAAGTGTTAAATATGCTCCCAGTTTCTTCTGATATGCAACTAAGTTTGGGACCCACTAGCCAAGAGGCAAGGACATGAAAAAGAGCAAAACTCCTCAAATTATGTCATTTGCTCATTGAAGAGCTGCAATTTCAAAACTATTCTGTTAGCAAGTGAACATATTTGAGTACTGAATATTGGTATGCCACCTAAATAGAACTCTTCTGTTATGGAGCATATAATTTTATATTAATCAATTATTTCAGATATATCCTAATCACAGATCTTCACCATGGAAAATATTATGAAAGGTAATTCAGTCCAACCTCCCAAATTAAATATATTTATTTTATTTCTTCACTATAGTATCTTGTCAAGGAGTCATCTACTCTAGCTCAAATCCATTCAGAGCTGGTGTCTGTCTCCTCTAGATGAGTCCGTGTTAGTACTGGAAAGTCCTCTGTTAGGCAGACCATTGGGCATGCTTCTCAAATATTCTGAGCTTCACGGAACACTTTAGAGACCCAGCGAGTGGTGGGAGTTAACACTAGTTGGTTATGACTACCCCTTACTTATAATTACTGTCTGTTTTATTAGTGAAATGGAATATCTTCCTGACCCCAACAAAGCTTAACGCGAGCATTTACCTTTGCCCAAAGTTCAGATACCCCCACACATGGCATTCTTTCACCCAGCTTACACCATGGAAACCAGAACAATCTGGGCAAATTTACACTGGAAGTGTTTCAAAAGGTTGGTGTATATTTCTGAACAAGATGCACACATATTTTTAGGGGTTTTAAAAATAATGTGTTGTATTTTCTGTACTCTTCTTAGGAACAGTGTCAGTGAAGAAAAAGATGGATTTTGACAATGTGACGTTTAGTGGGGTTGTTTATGAGGCTGAAATATTAACACAAAATATGCCAGTGGTGAAGTCAAGGGTCTATGTGTCATCTGTCAGTGACAGAGGAAGTGTGCAGAGTGTTATTGTGAATAAAAGTCTATTAACAAAGCTGCTTCATTTTCTACCTGTGGAATTGACAAACGAGTACCAACATAATATGTTAGAACATTATACTATGTTTACTCATTTCCCTTTTTGGTTAATACAGTAGTCTGGAAAGATGACAAACTTAGAAGCATGTGTGTTATTTTTGGTGGGGGGGAGGAAGTATTAATACAAAAAAAAGGTACTTGAACTGTTTGCATTATTGATCAACTGATGTTTATTTCTATTCATTTCATGTGATTATTTTGTTTATTAGATCCAAAAAGTTAAGATTTATTATTAAAAAGGTCTTTCCTTTTTTAGGCTTCTAATTTTTATTTTTGAGAAGTAAAGGCTGTAGAAATGATCAATTTGAATAACCCTAAAACTGCATGAAGAAGAGATGTTCTTAAAACCACACGGCATGACTCTGTAGGCAATGTTAGAAGATTTTGGCATTCATTGTTGAATTTCGTGCACATGTTTTATTTTATTTTACTCTTAATTTGCATGTCAAGAAAGTGGTTCCCTTTTTTTCTCATTATTTCATTTTATTCTCTGTGAAGACACTGTAAATTTATTTTGATCTCATTTTCTTTCCGTTAGATTTATTTTCTTCTGTAGTGACGTTTAGAAAGGTATTTTGGGTATCATTCTTTGAATTCTTCAGGGGTTATAGCTAACTGGTGACAGAAAACAAAATTATCTTGTTCACATTTGTTGCTTACTGATTGCACATCTTAGTACTCTTATAATTTCTCTAATTTGCATGTTACAGAACGGAAGCCAGGACAAGACATAGAAATTAAAGCGAGAGAACATTACACAGTGGTCGTTGACTGAAATAATAATCTGCATGTTGTTTTCCCTTCTCCCTCCTGCATGCAGGGATTTGGTTTCGTAACTTTCGAAAATAGTGCCGATGCGGACAGGGCGAGGGAGAAATTACACGGCACCGTGGTAGAGGGCCGTAAAATCGAGGTGCATGTTCAAAATATTTTCCTTTACATCTTTTTGATAAATGTCTGCTTCACGCTCATTCGTTGTTTCAGATGCATCATTGTGTCTTGTATGTGACCCTGTTCCCTTCTCATTGTTTATATATATATATATATTTATATTTATATATAAAAAGGAAAACTGGCCTTACTTTTTTTTTTCGTTTTATTTTATTATGTTACTCTTATTACTGCTGAAAGGTGGATGGCAAACGTGAGACCAAAAAAGGTTAATCTGAAAGTTTTTTGTTTTTATTTTATTTTTTTATTTTCCATGTTTAAGAGTCAATGGGTGCAGTAGGTTCCAAACAGTGGAGAGAGAGAGTGTTACAAAACAAAACAAAATATAGAGCAGTTTTTTTTTTCTTTTCTTTTTCTTTCCACTGCAGGGTTGGTGAGGGATCCACAGTGGTGTGCAAATTAAGCCAAATTGTGAAAGAAATAGCATTCAAAAGAAAATTTGTTTTTTTTAAAAAAAAATGAGAGGTTTTGTCCTTAAACCTTTCATTTTTTTTAAGAAGCCAGTTTCAACCTCTATACTCTTTTGATAATAAAGTGAATAAGCAAACAGGATTTCCTGTGCAATATCTGGCCCCTCTTCACTAATAAAATAAACTCTAAAATTCCAGTACTCAGAATCTTCTCCTTCTACCACTGGATCTCCCTCAACATGGCCACGGGGTCATATTTGTTAAAACTTAAAAAAAATACCAGTTATGAATGCTTTAGTCTTTGGAGTAAGATGTTGCATATTTTGCCTTTCATTTTCCCCTTCGACGATAACGCTTAGGCCCCTCACCAAACTCTCAGTAACCATGGTAACTGTATACAAACCCATGCTGGCGATGGCGGTGAATGGTAAGTGGTGAAGTCCATCTGCCGTTACACGTATTAGTGCTGATATATCTATATACATATATATACCACGTGAACTTTTTGACTTGTTGTATTAAGTTTTCTTGATGCTCTATTTTTTTGGATATTGGTACGCCTGTAATTGAGTGTACGTTCTAAGCTAGCCTGGGAGGCACTGACTGGATTGAGACATGAACGGTGCACATCTTACTCAGATTGTTAACTCCATATCGTGTTAAACAATGCACCCTCTCTTTTATCCTTTTGTTAGCTGTGACTTTAAAGCTTGAATGATTTTGTTAATTCTTGCGATGTAAAAGGCTCTTGTTTCAAGTGTTGAATGCTAGATGTTGCTTTCCCAATGGTTCTTCCCCCCTGAAGTGTTGCACACGGCTAAAACTTGTTTGTCCCTTTTTTTGACATTTATGTTCCCTTGTACCTTGTCTCTCCCTTCTTCTACTCCACTGCATGTTCCTTCATATGAACTTTATTTTATGTTTAAAAAATATTGTTTCTGTGTTACCATGGAGTACACGCATGCTTTTAAATCTTCAATTATGCAGTTTCTTTTAATTTGCTTTTACTGTCTCCTTATTAAATTTTTAAATGATATGACATTGCTTTATTGAAATGATTTGTAAGTTTAAATGGTTATGAAGTAAATGTAATTATAAAAATGTATGATTCTGTTGTGCACCTACTGCCTTTATAAATTAAAATGCATTTTAGTTTTTTAATAAGTAATCACAGTCATAATGCATGCAACTAATTGAACTGTGGGCTGACCCCAGAATACATGCTCATTTGAGTTTTCTGTGTACATAGGTAAATAATGCCACAGCACGTGTAATGACAAATAAAAAGACTGTCAACCCTTACACAAATGGTAAGTACACGTTGGCCTTTTACAAGAACTCACCTCTGCCTCTGAATCTACTAAGTAATTTAACTAGGGAATCTGTTTCAACAAGCCATATTTGCCTTCACATGGTGACTGCTGCCCTGCTGCAGTGAACCACCTGAATCAATAAGATGATTTTCACAACAGAGGTGGGTTTAGTTTTCAGGTTAACTGTAGACATCCTTCTTCCAGTCTCTCTAGGATGGGGGTGAGATACAGTCATTATTTGAGAATTAGTTGGGTAATTTAATTTGTTGTTATGATAGCAAGTTGAAGGAGAATGAAGGTATTTTTTTTAACCATCACCTCCTCACTGATCACTAATCATACCTGGATGTGTGGCTGCAGAATTCAGTTCCTCCCTTGAGTCATCTTAGGAAGTGGCTTGGGGGGCACCTCCTGATGCGCTCTGTGGTGACAGCAGAATGTGTGAGTGCATTATTTCTTACTCTCTGGGTTGCCCAGTGTCAATGACCCCTCAGGGCAATTCATTTCAGCCCTTCCTAACCAAGATGTTGCAACACTCCCCACGCTATGAATTCTTATATAACGTGAATTCATACATACACCCATACATACACACACACACACATATATATATATATATAGTTATAAAAAATGTTCAAACATTTTGATTCTTTAATCCTCTTCAGGGTAAATCTGTAAGATATATAGGGAGAAAAGCTGCTGATATGCTGATCACATACTTCATTGTACCAAAAATTATAAAGAAAGTAAGGCACTATTAAAGTTTATGTGCTTAGTAGAATATTATACCCATTGAAATGAGCTGAGTAAAGACTGAAAGAGCCCCATAATGAATGAAAATTTTTGAAATTAAAAATTACATGTATAACATGATTTGAACTAAATTATGATGGGAATTATACCAAAATGCTAATGGTTGAGTTGAATTGTGAGACTGAAAGATATTTTTTCTGTGTTTTATAGGTTTTTAAGAATAATATAATTTTATTACTGTCATAAAGGGAAAGTACTGAATTTTCCATTTTTAACATTTTAATTATATATAAAACATGGAAATATAGAATCACTTGCAAAAAGAAAGAAACATAAAAGACTAAATATATTTTGAATGACACCTGCCAACTTAGTTTCCTATTTTCCTCCTCAGAGGATATGCCACTATTACAGATATTTTTATTTTGTATTTTATGCACATACATGGAGTATTTGTTTACAGCAGTGACATTATTATATACATGCTTTTTATATAAATAGTATCATGGTGTACAGACAGATCATTTTTAATTGGTTTTCAGAAATCCATTTGAAGTTCTTTCAATGTTAATACCTATAGACCAAGTTCATCCTTTTTAATAGTTACGAAATATTCCATACACGGATATATGGATTTATTCTGACTTTTCATACTGATTGATTTAAGTTTGTTTTTTCTGTATAATCATTACCATTCTGTAGTTTTGTCCTTGTTTTTCTTCTTTCTTGTGCCAGTGGCTGCCAATCTGGCTAAGTCAGTTTGTTCTTATTTTTAAAAGGGACACCATTAAAGAAAGATATATCTCAATATAATAGGGCTCTAAACTGAAAGTCCAGAAGAATTATTTATTCTGCTGACCCATTTTCCCAGCTCCAACAACCCAAGACATAGCCTTAAATGGAATAGAGAAATTTCACAACAGACTTTGGATGCCCAGTGCTGAAATAAAGCCACCCCTGATTTATGTGTCATGAAGCCTTTCGACTTGGGTAAAATGACAGCTCTGCAACTTGTCAAAGTTAGCATGTGATGACATCACCCTGACTATTGGGCATTTAAAAAAATTATACACTAGTCAGTGTGTGTGGGGGTGTGCATGTTTTCATGCATATGCATGGGTGCTTGTGTGTACTGTGTATGAGAGAAAGTGAAGTAGGGAAGCTAAATATTATTCCTTAAGCCATATGTATGCATATTTATTTTAAAGAAAGAGTTATTGATCAATGTCATAACCAGAGGCTAAAAACTGGACCTGTGGGATTTTGCACACAATTCAAAGCACATGCATTAATAGCCAACATTTCTGGAATACTAACTGTATGGTGTTATGTTAAGCATAATAAATACCCTGGGCCCACATGAAATTCTGTGATGAGGAAATAGTGATTCCTATTTTAAAGGTGCAAAAACTGAGGCTAGAAAGGAAAAAGTTATTAGTGAAGTCATTTTCTTTTGTTATGAAGTAACAGGATCTCCTGGCTAGGCCTGTGTGTGTGAGAGTATATCACTTTCCCTCTCATCTTACAGGACTGCACTCAAGTAGCAACAGGCCACAATAACAAAAAGGCTTTTAAATGTGGACCCCAACTTTCTGCCAGGTGTTGGTATAAACACCCCACATCCCATTCCAGGTAGCCATGCATTTCATTCTTAGTTTCCAGAAATGAGCCGTGCGAGTCTCTCATCCATGTATCTGAAAGAGGCTACTCAGAAGCTTATCCTGATGCACGGACTGAGGATGGTACCTAAGGGGTCAATAGGACAGTCATAAAATAACTGACTTGAAAAATCAAATGAAATTCCTAATTAAATAAAAGCAGTTGGAGTTCTTGGAAACTTTTGGTATTTAAAAAAAGTTATTGTCAAAGCTTTTCCAATTTCTAGTTAATGAGTATCATCACTACAAAGACATTTTCTGATAAATAGCAATAAAATGTAACTGAAAAAACAGAGACCCTCTGAGATCTTTAACAAGACTGATTATACCAAGAAGGGATATTATCACCATACACACATACAAAAGAAAGTGGTAACTGTGTGAGATGATGGATATATTAATTAGCTTGAGTGTGGCAAATACTTTACAAAGTCCACATATATTAAATCATCAAGTTGCATACCTTAAATATGTACTAATTTTAGTTATCAATTATATACCTCAATAAAGCTGGACAAAAAAAGTCAGGACCAATAAGTCACATTAAAATGAGAAAATTAAGTAATCAGTGAGATTCATTAGCTATTGAATTCATTCTCAAAAGCCATAAAACTTACACCTCAGCAAAGTTAAATGTTACTAGAGTCATCATATTTTGAGGTCATCTTCAAATGGTGAAATATAACTATCAATGTCAACATCATAGTTTTGCATTCCTTCAGTCATGTATCCAACAAAAGTTTGAGTCGCTGCAAAGTTTCCAGTGATTAATAAGATTGGCTGTGAGATGGAGGACCATAGTTAATACTATTATAGAGAAAGTGGATTCTATTTTTTAGGATATTTTAACTTGGATATAAGAGAAGACTATAGAATAACATATAGGGATTTTGAAATCCCATCAGAAAGCTCCACAAAGAGAAAACTGGGCTACTTCTATGTTGCTGATTTTTCCTGAGAATTCCAAAACTCAGAGAAGAGTTGGGGTTTACTGTGCTCATTGGAGATCAAGTGTTTGCTCTGCAAAATAAGCTGGTAAACAGATTCTTGGGGATTTCCTGGGTATTGGAGAAGTGTGGGTGTTAGATGGAGCTATTTTATTTTCTTAAGGATCTTAGGCAGGCTAAAAACTGGACAAAGAGATCCCATACTATATAAAGAGGTAGATTTTGTATCAGCTCTGCCTTTGAACAATAGGCGGGTTGTTTAAACTCTTCACATACCACTTTTCTCAAGTGGGAATTGCAGACACAGTAAGTCCTCCTACAAAGAATATTTGTCACTATTATGGGAGATAAAGTACTCAACACAGTGCCAGAGTACAGAGTGCCCTAAAAACTTAATTACATAATAATCTCAATAATAAACAGCCATCTTGTTCTTCTTTCTCTATAGGTAGTAAGTTGAATTCCGACAGACATGCCAGTTTAAGGATCAAATATTCAAATGCCAGTGGAGGCTGGACAGCTAAAATAAATGAGCAAACAGAGAAGGTCTGATAAACTCTGTCTTTTAGACTATCTTTCATTTACATACTGGGAAAAGCAAGGTATTTCTCTACCAGAAGAACAAACAGCACGGGGTAACAATAAAAGATTGCTGACATTTAGCCAGCAAGCCAGCCACACCACAGGGAGTAATGGTGACTGTGACTAACTGGGAGTTTAATGGGGTGGGCTCTGGTCACCCCCCAGCAGTCTAAAGTTGCCATTTCTACTGATGTTTCAAGAGAACAAAAAACCCTGTGTTTCAGATGAAATCTAAATGTTGATAAGAAATATATGTGGCAAAAAAATAAAAATAAAAATACTGACTGAACCAAACACAACCTGCCACTAACTTTTCATTTTGGGCATTGCTTTGTGCACCATTTCAATGACCAGGCCCCTGGAACCCTCAGTATGTGTCTTTAGAAAATATTAGCATGCAGTTTTGGAACCCCCTGTGATATATTTAAGGGTATATTATTAAAAGTGTTTCTTTAATATCTAACCCAATAAAGCCCTAGTGAAGGTCTGTGCAGGTGTTCGTGCACATGGAGACTTTGCCTTTTAACACCTTATAGAGCCATAATTAATACCAGGGATCTTGGCCAGTGTTTTTACAGAAAGCTGCCCCATGACCTTTGAGAAGCTAAATTTGAGAATGGGAGCACTGATTCTGATGCAGTCCTTCCAGGCCCATCCACAGAGGGGTCTTTCTAAAGAGCTCCTGTGTCTAATATAGAGAAAGACCCCCACATGTCTGTTCTCTGCTCCACTGCCTTGTTTTATGGGGGGCCCCGGAGGCCTGGAGCGGTGGGCTTTATCAGCTGTTCTTCTTTTGTTGTAAGCCTCATTGTTCAGCTTAATGTCCTTGATCAAAATCTGTGAATTTGTAGGGCCTGGGGATGTACACAAACTGCCTGAGAAATTAAAACTGGGATCATTTTGTCCATCTTCCTGACAGTGCAGGCTCCTGTCTCCAGCAGGGTTATCCCAAGGGTCTCTTCCAGGTACTAGATGGAGTTACAGGGACTAGAATTCTATTTGCATGTAATTTGCATACATTTACATAAGCCTGCATGAGCTCTGTAAATCTTAACAGAAATGATTTTCAAGGGCTATATGCTTATTGCCTTTCTCTTGAAGACAGTTACCCCTAACAGGGTCTTTCTTTATTAGATGTATATCAGGAAGCAGGTCATTGGAGATTGGAAAAAGACAGAATCCTAGCCAAAAGGAAATGAGTCTATTAGAAAAAGCTTCATATTCCTTCAGTTCCTTTGGAGCAAAACTAAGTAAATATTTATGGAGCAACTGACTTTTCACCAAATACAGTTTTAGTTGCTGGGAATTCATATCAGATGGCAGACCTACTCACTTTATCATTAATTTTAATAAAGGAGATGGTAATAAAAACAATTAAGAACAAGAAGAGAAAGAAAAATGATGACCCCAGGTAGTGTTAACAGCTGTATAGGAAACGAAACTGGGAATTGAATCAGGGAGTAGCTCAAAGGAGGGCTGGGGAGGGTGTGGCATTAAGTAGATTCTCCTGGGCAGACATTGGAGACCTAAATCACATCAGGTCAAAGTTGTCAGGAGCTAATGGATCAGTCTAGATAGATAGATAAAAAAGGAGACATTAAATGGATATAGATAGGTAGAAATAGGAAAAAGGTTATTTGGCCCAAGGAAATGAGGAAGATAAAGGCATATGAGAGAAACATAATTTTTAGGCCATCTTAGATACCTCTTGAAAAATCTCTTTCTTTGAAAAAAATTAAAGACAGTTGGCATAACTTATCTTCGACAGTTACATCAAAATTAATTGATGGGTCCACACTCAATGAATGGTGTGTTCCAGCTTTGTATACAAATTTAAGACAACTAATAAAGATGTATGTAAGAAACAAAACTCTACTTGACTAGTGTTAAAAAGACCCTTTCTTCACTATCAGTGAAAGGTAGGGCATAAGCAGGGTGTAAGAGGGAAGAAGGGATAATAAATTAATCAATGAATAATTCATTTAATATAGCTCCATATAGGTTTCTTTCACAAACTCTTGACTTCTATTAAGGACTAGACAGAGAATGCTAAATATATTTAGATAACTCTGTAGTTTTACTTTCAACTAGTTTGCTCCATTTTCTCTCAAATATCAAATAACTCAAAATGTGGACATTAGTTCCCTGCTCCTCATGAATTGGGCATTTGCTTATTTGAGAAGCAGTAGAATTTCAGTTGATCAAATTGAAGTAATTTCCACCTTCACAGAAGACATATTCTGAAATGTTTGGGGGTAATATTATTTTTACATCACTACAGAAATTCCTATAACACAAGATGTGGTTAATATGAGAGAGGAAGTTGTAAGTATGAAGTTTAAGAAACCATTGGGAAAATAGCTCACAGAATTTCATGTCCTTTTCTGTATAGGTTTAAAACATGGCTAAGGATTTTTCAGTAATAAGCCTCCCAAGTAATTCAAAGACAACCCTCTGAAAAACTCAATCCTAAGAGCATTACGGGGATGGTAAATTAGCAAGCTTATTAAAGTTGTAACAAAAAGTTTCATAGAAATCAAACATCTCATTATATTCCAGAAAGTTCTTAGGTCCCCCGCCCCGGGGGCATACCTATTGAGATATTGAGCTTCTTAGTGGATCAGTAGGCAGTGGCTACTCCAAGCTGTTCTTACAGGCATATCACTCAGGTCAGACATTGGGATGTCACACCTCTCCCTTCCGGAAAGAGCTCAGAGGGCTCTCATCAGAAATACCTTCCCACACAGCCCAACTTTCACTATTGCTTTTGCTCAGGGGCATTTATTAAAGAACCTCCAGTGTTGGACCCTCAGCCCAAGGACACAGGTTTTTCACCTAAAGGCAGCACACCTGTCCTTCATTCCCTTTCAGGAGTTCCACAGAATGAATGTTTTCATAAAGATGTGCCAGCGAGAGCAGGAATGAAGGAATGATCACCAGGCTGTAAAACATGATCATTCTTCTGAGAATGTTTCCTAAATAGTGCCCAGTGAGTCTCTAATATGGCTAGTATCTTGCTTTGCAAGTGTTCTCCAATTCTCTTTTCTTGAGTTAAAGTTTTTGAAGGTCCAGAATTTATTTCACAGAACTTTAGGAAAATTCCAGGACTCTGTTCATCTTATATGCAGGTTATTTGAAAGTTACCTTAGATATCATGAATTGATTAAGAATCATTATGGTTCCTGCAAACAGCAAAATGTATTCCACACTAAATTTTTACTGGATAAATGTCATTTTCTTTGAGATTTAAAAAGCATTTTTGGAGTTCTAGTCTCTGGGTCATAATTGCAAATGACAATAATCAGAAAATGTTGCTGCAAAGGTTCTGTTCATGTGAGCTTTCAAACATTTGTGACCCTAACACACAAAGACATGTTATGTATTATTTTAGTAGTGATCCATGAAAGAATAAAAAAATGAAATTATTATAGTGGTTCTAAAAATATTGGTATGGGAGAAAATTAATTACCACATCATTTACAAAAGGTTCACCTATAGCTGGTCAGTAGCTTCCATACTATTAACTTGCATAGGCAGAAAGTTAAAGAAGGGAATAAATCTGTTCCCCTATGTAGAGTTTTCAAATAATTTTTATACATGCCCCAACTATATATTTTCTGAATTTTAAAATTAAGAAAAAACAACCCATTAGATCTGCAGTTAATTTGCAATGATGTTAGTTGCTGAATCAAAGGTGATATTAATGTTTCTGTATATCTGTTTCAAGGCTGGAAATTGAATCCAGTTGTGGGTGCAGTCTACAGTCCCGAATTCTATGCAGGTAAAGAATTTCCCTTTGCATGATGTCTTCTTGGTCTTTTCTGTATGTGCTTTGCCTGGCAATAAAGAATGATTATTGTTTAAAAAAACAAACTAAACCAAGTAAATCTTTATCCTAAGAAGTCCTAAGTAAATTTTTTTGACAAAATCAAGTGTTTAAAACCCTTTCAAAAAATAAGAGGGTATCATGTAAATTCATGTGGAGTAAGCATAGGGCCATTGTTTCTAATGACATTTCCCATTGATTTTGCCTTTAAAAAGTGTGGAAGCTTTGTTCAAGAGCAAATTGAACAAGTGTAGAGCTGTTCATGCCCATTTTATGTCAGTAGACCTGTTTTTTTAGTCACACATTTCCATTTGGGGTTGCATTTTTCCTTAGCAAAGCAGAGAACTGGACTACTTATTTCAAAAACGTGGCCATGTTTGAATTGCCAAAAGAAAAACTGTTTACAAAACTGGAGAAAACTAAACTGTCTTGTTTTTTCCCATTAATCAATTTTCTTTAGCAATTCTATTTCTCTCTGCTTTGCCTTCAACGATGTATCTCTGTTCACTGCTTCCCTGCCTACACCACAACTACTCAGTTGGAAATCCACTGCCATAGAAAACTTGATTATCAAATTCGGAGAGGGAGTAACCCAGAAGCATCAGTGGCTGAGATTTTTGCTAGGCATGGCCTGTCACTTCTGCCCATCATGTCCTTGGTCATTAATAAGGCTGCACGTAACACCTGGGAACCTAAGTAGATTTGCCCCATGGATATGGAAAAGAGGTCTTTCCTGATGTGACCTTTATTTTTTAATAAGGAGAAAGGAATGACCAATTGGTCTATCCAAGGGTTAAGTCATATCCCTTGCTTTTTCTCTTCTGGGATGCCTTACTGCTATTACTGTCCTGATACTAAGCATCCACCCTAGTGGGTGACAGAAGAGCGTAGGAAACTTAGGTATTTATCATAATAACCAATTCGATTTTTTAAAAAAGGTAAATCTGGGAAAGCCCAATATGCATTCTGGATTTTAGGAGTACAATATTTGTAGTTGTTCTTCATGTGAGAATTTTACCACAAGTCTGGGTTAAGTGCAAGGGCTCTATGACTGTGTAGTAGCAGTGTTGACTCTTACGAGTGGGGAGAGACATAGCTATAAGGCTTCTTATGATCATATGATGGAACCCATATCCTAACAGGACACCTACAGAGTGAGCAATGTGGATACTGCACCCAAGGTTCAAATCCTGGATCCCTAATTGCCAGCTGTGTGAGTCTAGGCAAGTTACTTAACCTCTCTGTGCCTCGGTATCTTCATCTGTTAAATGGGAGATGATAATAGTAATTAACTCACAGGTATTTATAAGAATTATTTGGCTTAATATATGAAGAGTGTTTTGGTGCTTTGCTGGTACCATATAAACATTGGGCAAATAGAAATAAATAAGTTAATATCCTACTTCTTTGCCATAACAGGAAAATTAACCAAGACCTGATGCTGGGGAATTGTGAGTGTACCACTAGACTAGGAGATTCTCTTCTTATCTCATGAAAGGAGTAGTCCTTCCATTCTCAGCATGTCCATTTGGGGGAAGTTAATTTCTGGGACCAGAGGTAAGGCAGTCCATTCAGGGGTCACAGATGTTGCTGGGGGTACATCCTTCTCCAAATCTGCAAAGAGATGAAATTGCCCCAAGGTACAGGGAGACTGTTGGACAGCACCTTCTGTGTACCTGCAGGTGCTCCCCAGTGAAATGGAATAGCTGGAGTAAAGAGGTGGCAGATTCTGTGTGTATATGCATGTAGACATGTGTGTGCCTGCATGCCTGTGTACACATTGTCTTCCCAAAATCATGGGTCAGACACAAGAAGAAAGATGTCATTTGAGGGGGAGGTAGGATATGAATGCATGTATTGTAATAGAGTAAGGAAAGTGCATTTTTCTAGTCCCATACAAAGTAGTTGGACATTTTTGTCTCTGGCAATCAGGAAAATACCAAATATCTTTTTCACATGTGATTTTAAACCATATGCATATCTGTGGGTGTTTAAGAGAGCATAAAGACAGAAGAAACAATTCAGACTACTTCATATGTACCAGAATAAATTAATCTGTGTAACTTTCAGAACAGTGATTTAAGTTAGCCCTGAGCCCATCCTCAGCTGTTAAATTACTGGGCTACAGAGAAAGTTTCAATAAGGATCGATATGGGCCAAGTGCTTTCCATGGTCAGGCACTGTTCTAAGCACTGTACCTAAATTGATGTGTTTAAGCCTTTGTGGCAGTTTTCCAAGTGAGGAGACTAAAGTTGAAGGAGTTTGCATCATGGATCTGAGACTACATAACTGGTAAGAAGCCAGCTAGAACTTGGAATCAAGAGGCTGGGTTCTTTACAACCAGCTTATGCAGCAGCCTTATCTTTTATGAATATTAAAAGTCATAATTCATAATTCTTACTCACTATGTCCTATGATAGTGGGCCATACGTCTAGACCAGTCAAATTAAAGAAGAGAAGGAAGTAAGATAATTATTTTGGATTATTTTCACTACCAACACCATATTGAAAAAGATTCTCTAGTTGTGTCAGGGGAAGCTTTAAGGAGTTTGAACAACCAAATAATTATTTCTATGAGTTGTTCCAAAACACTTAACACTTAAAAAAATGGGTCATGGATAATTAAGTGATACTTGAGAAATGTGAACATTGGTGTTTTCAGTTGTCAGTATCTGGCCTCTCCTTAATGAGAAGCTTTCTTTCCCTTTTTTTGCCAGAGTTTGTGATATTCAGAAATGTGAGGAAATATTACTGCAAATTCAGTACTCCAGAACAATTCTTTTGAAATATTTGAAGATGTGTAAACACTGAGACTCCAGTTAGCTTAAGTCTAAATTTTCAGTCACCTGTATCTATGGAATGAATATAGGCATGGGCAAAAGTAGGTTTATGGTTTAATACAAATAGATAATATAATAATTAATGAATAATAACACAAAAATAAACTGTTTTGTATACTCAACTCTAAACCCACTCTTGCCCATCTTTGTATATGTAAGGATGTACTTGTAGGATGTATTCATTGCTATAACCGGGTATAATTACTGATGTCACACATTTAAATACTCATGACTAAAAATTTCGGGGGCATTTAAATTTCCCCAAGTATAAAAATATTCTGGATGCATTCTACAGTTTTGATTATGCCTCGAAGCTGAAATGAAGACCCTGTTATTGATTTGCCAGGGATATTTAACAGGCCAGCTCTGTATCTGCCCGAGACAGAAAGCCAGACTTATTAACCATTTCTTTATATAAGATTTTGTGTTAATGACACATATCATAATATTCCCGTAGTATAATTATTGACTTTCTGAAGCTTATGCAGAATTAACAACCCAGCCTCCAATTGTCTCTCAGAATGGGGCATGAAAAGTTCACATATTTTGTAAATTAAAATCGATATTTTCAATCTCTCCTAAAGGTAATTTTCCTAATTTAGTGGTCTTTTCCCTAACATTTATTTTCTCTTTTAATTATAAAATGGCAGGTTATTGATTTTCCTATATAACCTCTTGACGCCCGGAGTGCATTTTTATTGCTAATGCAGGGTGGGGGTGGGGAGAGCAGTTGCACCTCTTAATGAGGATCTTTAATTACTAGCTGAACAGTATTAATTTGCTTTGATAAATTATGACATGCACTCTCCCTTGTGTGCACATTCCAGAGGAAGCATTTAGAAAGCTGTTATGGAAGGTCTTTCATTTCAGGTGGTTCTTCTGAACTCTCAAGTCATACCTGGAAGAAGTCTTTGAAATGCTTATCCAACAAAATCTCCAAAAGCAAATATACATAAATCAGCTTAATCCCACAAACATATATAAATCTTCTCCAAAGATAAGTGGGTGTTTCCCTGTTATACTAAACAGCATTGACCGTTTTTCTTAAGTCTTATCATCTTCAGACTCCTTGAGGCTTATTCTCAAGACAAAGATTGTTAAGTCAGTTTTAAAAAGTCCGGGTAGGTCTCAAAGACTTAAGCTTCTATCTATGGCCATTCGATTTTAGAATTTAAAGAAAATTGAAGGTCTTAAATAGAGGTAGAGTATCTACAAATATCTGTTCCCAGTAGCATACCTCAACTTATTTAATGTAATAAGAAATAGTGTTTCTAAGAACCTCAGTAAAGAAGGCTCAAAGGGGATTCTTACAGTTTCCCTGTCTTTGTGAGAAATTCCCTTTGCTTGCTAATAAAAAGATTTTTACAAAGTGGTGTCTTTGAGAGATAATCATGATATCTAGCCCAGGAAACTGTTGATCAGAAGCAACTTTAATCTTCATAAATAAGTAAAACAAAATAAAAATAAATAACAGAAGGTTATACAAAGATGTTGACATGGTACTGACAAATGGCAAATTCATCTGTTTCTCAATTGCTGCTAAGGTTGCTGCAAAGCTTAACCACACTGTATATCATATCTGCCAACTCATTTCTGTGATTAAATATTCCATCAGTGGAGCTCTAAGGCGGCGGAGCTTAACAAGATTCATAAGATGCACCACTTGAACACGCATAACTCACTTCCATGGATGGAGAGCACCCCACTTGCAGAGGAAAATTGGAATCCAGTTAAATTACTACACAAGTTGCGATCAATAAGGAAAGGAAAGGATCTTTCAATTCAATGCAAATCTAAGCTATAGTTATGTTCTGATGACAAGAAACACAATTCAAGTCAATAGTAGGAAGACACAGAGTAAATCACTCAAAAACCTTGAATATGATGATGAAAAATAGTCTTGGTGAGACTATAATTATGAGCAGCATTTTGGGGGGGTGGGTTAGAGAAGGAAGGGGATCTTGAACATATAGTCCTCCTAAAAATAAAAGTTTCTGTTTCCAAGGCGGGGGGAGGAATAAATAACATGTACTTAAAGAAGGGCATTCCTGGCTATAGTCACATTTGGAAGGAGGTTAGGTCTTGATAGTAGGTTATCCTGGGGTTATGATAGGA